AATAGTATACAAGTTTTAAGTTCTTAATTCTACAAGGCGATATTGAAAAAATCCTGAGTTTCCCATAGTGTGACACATTTTCTCTTGGCATCTTGTCTACTCTATTTTATCCACTACCCCTTGGAAAAGTATGAAATTAAACATAAATTACTCACTATAAAATCGTCATTACTCCAACAAACCATATTTTTTATAGTCTTAAATTTTGTTTGGTTACAAAGCCATCAAATAGAAAATCAACCCCTCCTTCCACACCCACCTATCACATTCTTTCAGAATTTGTTAATAGTTTTCTCTGACGTTTAAATTATACATTACCTATAACCAACAGAAAGTCAAGATTTACATCTACCAAATGATGTATTGTATAATGTTATGTACTGAACAGTTAAATGTCAATTTCACTCAGAGTGCCAATATTGTTCCTGTGAGAAAGTTAATGACTAGCTTGGATGAATTTGTAATAGCTCTTGTAACATAGTTAGAAAACCAGAAAAATTTTGAGAGAGATAAGGGAATTTGTCTACTTTTTGCATATTATTGGTCTATATTGTTTGGTGCATTATTTAATTAAATAAAAATTATTAAGTGCATTACTATCATTAGTATATAATAATTAGGCTTAACTCTCTTTGACAATTGGCAGTAAAGAAAAAAGAAGATTGGTTATGTATTTTGTTTCTTGTTTTTTTCATGTTTATTCTTTATGTATAATTATAAAAGTAACTAAAATGTAAAAATAGGGATCCCTTTAGGTTAGTTAAGATTAGATTAGGTAAAATGAATAATAATAATATTATAATAAAAAATTTTCCTGAGTCACACATGCGATTGCTCGTAGTATCTCGTGGGTAATTTACAACTTATAATGGCATGGATAGTAGTCAGACACAGTTCAAAGGGCAATAAAACAATAAAATTTACTTATAAATAGATGTATACTATTACAAACTTAGATCTACTTTGGACAAATGAATGTAGTTTCATGTTAGAATTTGAAGTCATTCTAGAAAGAAAAAAAGGATATTTTATATTTATTTAGATTTTTTTTGGTGGTTACAAGGTTGGTCGAATTGACCGATTACGTTTTGAGATAGGGTTGAGAAAATAACAGATAAACTATAAAGTTTTATTGAAAAAAAAACGTTTGAAATGTATTTCGGAGGTTTTAGGGATTATACAAAGGAAATTTGAGATTTTTGAAATGATGTAAAGTATTTTTAATTTTAACATGAAAATTACTTTGCACATGGACTATTCAAAAC